TAGTAATCCCTTACTTTACTCGTTACTTGAAAAAAGTAATCGGATTACAGTAATGCTTTACAAGTAACGCGTTACTGCCCATCTCTGGTGATTGGTCACTTGCAATGTTAAACCTGGAACAACATTTATTATGATGATGTGGCCACAACACCAACACGACGATATCAGATCATCCTTTTAGATCTCACCCGGTCAACGCACGTGAATAACTAGTTCATTACCAGGCCTCTGGAGAACTTCAAGACATGTTGAGGAGGTAATTTAGCCATTTAAATAAGCTGTGTTGGATCAAGGACACATCTAAAACCTGCAGGACACTGGGCCTTGAGGCCTGGAGTTCCCCCACCCCTGTGTTAGAGAGCAGAGTTTCTCTGGTAACCCTTCCAAATAAGCCACACTTGTTCAGTCTGTTTCTAATTGTACTGATGATGAATGTTAAGTTTAACAGGCTGACTGAGGCCTGTACAGTCTCAGATTGAGTTCTTATTTCTGAGTAGTGCACAGATGTCTCCTTCTAGGAAGACTGCGTTAACACATACAGACCAACAAACTGCAGACGCTGCTTTTATAGAGGTGCTCACACTTAATCAAGTGAATTTGATTAGCAGGGCTTTCTGTATCACATGACTGCAGGTTTTTGGAAATGTAGTATTTTTTTATTTGCTGGTGTTAGTGTATGCATCACATTTGTCATGATTGTGGTTTGAGGAGGTTTGTTTGGCACTGGCAGAGGGGAAGAGGTGATGCTCACGGTCACCTGAACTGAGGCGTGATGACTTTTTTAACAGGGAATGATGCACTCAAGTTACTCTAGTAAAAGTCAGCGATAAAAACATGGAGGTGGAAATGAGCATCACCGATGCCCTTTGATGGAAACAACAGCAGATATAACAACACTGTACAGTCAGCGTTACACCATGCGCGCCTGTGACCACAGGCAAATGTTAAAGCATTTTGCATAAAGAAATCCAGATTCAAATGTCAGGTGTTGTTAGATGTTGCAATTGTGCATCACTGTAAAAGAAAATGCTTTGTGTTTGCAGTGGTGGGGGTGGAGGGGACTGCCTCCCCGCGAGATTTTCAAAGCAAATGACGCCATGAGATAAGTGTGGAGCTGTGGGGCTTTGTAAATTGCCGTGTTTCTGTGGAATTCCTTTGAAAACACAATTTATTGCAAGGCAGGAAATTTACTATAATTACAGATGAGTCAGATCTTAAGACTATAACAACTTTATAAAGTTCTCTCTGGCAGCTCAGTCTCACAAACAGAGATGGGGGGGGGGTAGCCAGCTCGTCATACCTTTTGAGGTTTGCGGTTTAAGTCGATATCAATTCTGAGTGCTTTCCTCCTTCAAGGCTAAGTGCTGGAGCCATCGTTTTGCAGATGGATTGTGTAGGCTAACTTCATTTGGGTATCATTTGTATTTCCACATGAATTACGTTCTAGACCTACAAGTCTCGGTGTTGCCCGGTGAAAAATGATTTGCGTCACTGGAAAGCATTTCATTTAAGTAAACCACCACTTCTCTTTCTCTCTGTCTCTCATACTGGATAATACGTGACGCGTATCGAGCCTGTCTCTCTCCCTTTATGCCCACAGAGGGTTTTATCGATCGGTGTATGGGACATACGTTGTCCTCTGTCTTTGACAGGATGTCAACCTCTCTTTTTCCTCTGATGTCTCTTTCCCGTAGGATTTGGATGTGTCATTGTGATGTGATGTTTGATGTGGTGATGCCACAGTGAGAGGTGGCTGACTGGACACTTCTCCTGGAGTGACTTAATCCGTCACCCTGAGCAGATGTTTATCTCCCCTCCCGACAGGACGGAGACGCAGATGCTGTGTGAATACAAAGATGAACTCGAGAGAACTAGCCTGCTAGTGAATGTGTCTACCACAACTCACCCGAGTTCTCCCCTTTTTCTATTTCCACAGACTCTGCAGTTGGGTTGCTATGGCAGCTGTGGCCCCTTCCTACTTCTTCCTGCTGTGTTGGCTGCTGCGAACGGCTAGCTCGGCTTTCCCGGAGGAACCAGGGCCCCTGAACTTCATCCCTACAGAAGGTTTGACCCCTCGCTTTCTCGCTCCTACTCCCTTTTCCTCCATTGCATTTCTCTCACCCACGACATGATGTGAAGTGTTGGGTTACAGCCAAATGCGCATGGTGATGAATGAGGGGGGAGGCTACGGCGAAGGGTTAAGGTCACGATGGTGGCTGTGGAGATTTCACACAAAACGCGTTGAAGCGTGGGGTCACGCTCGGGAATGAGACCGAAGCCATGGAAGGGGCTCTCGCATTCGTGACTTTCCCACACATGAGCTCAGACCCTTGAGAGATACGGCCCCTCGAACGCTCAGACTCTGTGGCTCCGTATCGGCTCTGCAGTCTCCGGCTTAGCCCTGATCTAGATTGACTGCAGTTCAATAATATTGACCAGTGGTTTTCCAGCTAAGTCCAGGCCCTTCTTTGTATATCAATAATGAACAGCTGAGTGTAGACGTGTCTGACTACTGGGTGCTGCCTATTGGCTAGGCTGCAGTAGACCCAACAGCTGTGGTTTACAGCAGGTATAAGTGGAAACAGAAGTCAGAGGCCCAATCACAGTGGGTCAGAGTGATGCAGAAACCGGAGCAAAGATAAGACATACAGGATAGGAATGAAGTAGAAGAAGAAAAATATAGAAATGAAAAGAAAAAAGCAGACTGTGCTGAGCACATGAAATAATATCAGATAGAAATATACCAGCTTTCCTTAGAAATCTGTGGTACAGCATGACTGGAAATGTTTTATTGCTTCCATCTTCGGTTCCCTTCCTCTTCCTCGATGTACAGCACTGATCATTTACCTTTCTGATATTTGTTTCTGTCTTTTTGAATTATCCGAATCAGCCGGCAGAACATGCATTGCCAAACTTGTCAACAAAAGGCTGCATGTAAATGAACAATCCATCAAAAGTGAATCTCAATCAGCCAACAAACAAAAACTTGTGAATATAATGACATATGAGGTGCAGATCAGACATCTTTCATTTTCAGAGTATTTGTCTACGCTCCCCTCCGTGTCTCGGTACATTTAAAGTAGCGCGTCAGCTGTGCTTTCAAATGCAGATCTCAAATGCTTTCTCCACTTCACCTTGAATACCTGTTACTGAGGCTGAACTGTCAAAACAAACTAACACAAAACCACTTTTATGCTGAGTACTTTTGGCTAAGATGGATGTCCGTTTCAGAGAAGCCATTCTGTTTGATTTTCTGACAGTGGTGAGAAGATACCCCGTGTTTCTGGGCCGACCGCACAAAACGTGGCTGAGACAAGAGCCTCTGCACGTCCAGAGGATCCTGCAGGTCAATCGGACGCTCTACATCGGAGCGAGGTACGCGACCCACACACACATGCAGACACACGTGTAGATGTACCGATCAGGCCTGTACCTGCTGCTAGGTGAGGTGAATAACTGGTTATGTCTTCATTGTGGCACCTGTTAGTGGGTGGATATATCAGGGAGCAGGTGAACGTTTTGTCCTCACAGTTGATGTTAGAAGCAGGAAGAATGAGCAAGTTTGAAAAAAGGCCAAACTGTGATGGCTATATGACTTGGAGCTTATAAACTGCAGGTCTTGCAGGGTCTTCTCGGTCCGTAGGGGTCAGTATCTTTTAAAAGTGGTTCAATGAAGGAACAGAGGTGAACGGTGCTCCTTGATCACTGTGGATAATGTGCTGAAAGCAAGAATCGTTCAGGAACGATTGAGGAGCACAACGTTGCTTTTGAGGTGTCGACTTGGCTTCTAAATTCCCCAGATCTCAGTCCGATCCATGGAGACTCCACCTCGCAACTTTTGCACACCTTGATGGTCATAATGTTATGCCCGATCAGTGTATATACTATGTACATTATGTCACTTACCTGGGGTTTTAAAATCTCTTGGACTGCCTGTTATCACCAGAGATGGGCAGTAACGCGTTACTTGTATTGTGTTACTGTAATCCGATTACTTTTGTCAAGTAACGAGTAAAGTAAGGGATTACTATTGCAAAAACGGTAATTAGATTACTGTTACTTTCCCATAGGAACGCTGCGTTACTGCGTTACTAAAACCGTGATTTTTTTTTTTTTGCGAGAATGTCTCATGACAGTGACGTAAGCAAGTGCGACGTTTGTGACAACAGCTGTGTGCAGATCAACAGTGGCTAACATATCGAGTGCGGGAGAGAGTATGAGCGTGCAGCGTTCAAAGCGTGGAAGTACTGACCTTTGAGTTTGATTCCATTAAAAGTGACAAAAACATTAGTGTCCGTTGTGCGTGGGAAGAAAACTTCTCTTTACAGCGAAAAACCCCCTAAACTTCCAAGCAAGCACCGAGTGCGCTACCACGTAATGGGAAATTCACAGAGAAACTCGCGGATTCTTCCACTGACCGCCGCGGCACACCTGCACCAGGGTAAACCTCCGCCTACCCAACTCCTGCTTTACAGGTGAAAATAGAGCAAAAGGACCGCTAGTCTTTGATTTTATTTGTTTTCTGATGTGTTTTACTTGCATCTATTTGAAAGAGTGAGTGTAAACAAAAAAAAAACTATTTTATTTTATGTGCTGGAATGTGTAGAAAATAGGTTTAAATGTTAAACAAATTTCTTCCAGTCAGAGAATGTTGCATATAATTAAATTTTTGTAATGACCAGACACGTCACGGAAAGTGAGTGACATTTGGTGACTTCACATGTGTGAAACATACACTCCTGACTCAAAGTGAGCAAGTTTAACTTCAGCTGTGTCCAGACA